AAAGTCGTGTATGAATAGTGCTGACCACACAATCCTTTTATAAGAAAAGTTAAAGAAACATAAATTATGACCTCTACTACATTTTCCCGATGAATCTTCAAGTCTGAAAACGAAACTTAGCTCATAGAAGTCTTATTAGATTGTTAAGTAATTTTCAGATCTAGCACACACAAATTTAAATATTGTTACATTGAATAAAAACATACATACCTTTTGATGATTAGTAGTATTTAGATAACGTTGTACGGAGTACGTCAAAACAGCTTGCACTCAATGTAATGATTAATTTAAAAAGGATACGACGTGTATGCCAAACTGTAGAGCAATGGTTCTCACACAAGTTGAGGTAGCTCACTGAGGGGTGTGCTGGGATGCAGTGGCGTAGCGAGGTCGGGTGTCACCCGGTGCGGCACTTAATGGGTGTCACCCCCAGAGGCGTAGCGACCCTTCCCGGGGACAAACTTTCAAATTTTCGATTTGCACCCCCCCTCAAGTTTTTCTCTATATATTTTGGTATTTTTAGCCTTGGTGTCACCCCCCTAAATGATGTTAACCGGTGCGGTCCGCCCCCCCCCCCGCCCCCCCCCCTCCCCCCTCCCCTTCGCTACGCCTCTGCTGGGATGGTTTTGGGAGGCGTTCGAAACCTCTGGTGTATTATAAAACGATGAATGGGGGTTGAAGGTGGCTAAACATGTCCATAAGGATCAAATCCTTGGACGTCCTCCAAAGCTAATGATGAAACTAGAGGTTTCTTGTTAATAATATAAGCACCCCACAGATTTTAACAGACTTTCCGGTTATTATAAAAGAAAACTTTTCTTTTAATATTATCTTAATCTAAATAAATTAAATGAATTAGTCAAGTCAGTCCGATAGAGTTTGAGAATCATTGATGTCATTGGTGAGCAACCTAGGCTACATGTGCGGACATTATTCGATTGTTACACATTGTGTTCTAGTTAAATATAAGCAGATTCTCTAAGCTATTCCAAATGCGGGTGGTATATGTACATACATATGTAGCTATGTTTTTGTAAGAGTATACATAGATTATGTTTGTAGAAATGTTTATGTTATGTTTTTGTATGTGTCGGTGGGTGTGTTTGGGAGAATGTTTACGCTCGGTTCTGTTTGGTTAATGCGTATGAGCGTGAATATCAATAAAAGAAAATAACCAAACACATTATTACACAATAAACTCTAAATACAGAACTGATTTTTGGGAATGTGTATGTTATGTCTAAATGTGTGTGAAACAGAAGCTATTAAACAACTAGGTATGCTGCCCAGCTTCGCTTCAGCTTTCTAAAACATTGAGAATTTGAATGCTTAATTAATTTCCCCGAGGGTCGGTCTACGACCTCAGGAGTTATGAAGAGGTTCTTACGTGGACAATTTTGTTCGATTTATAGCTCATATAAGTATATAGTATAGAAACGTATTATTTCAATAGATTCTAGATCTAGGTAGGGTCTACACCTGTTTAAGTCTAGTTTTTCCGTAGATCTAGATCATATAGATCTAGATCTAGATCTAGAATCTCTAGATCTAGATGATCTAGAATCTCTAGATCTAGATGATCTAGAATCTCTAGATCTAGATGATCTAGAATATCTAGATATAGAAAATTAGATTTAGAATCCTAATAGAATTTTTTTTTAAGTTTAGCCCGAGTAAAATTATATTGTGTAAATTTTATAGCGTACGTAGATCTAAATAATATTTGAATGAAATAGTTCATTTCTTTTTATTCTAAACACGGCAGATGACGTCATTAGTTAATGTATAAACATTAGTGACGTCAGTGTTTTATGCATTCTTTTTCACAACTATAAAAGCTTTTCCTGTTGCATAATTAAAACTGTTTTTCTACATTCGAATACGCCTTTATATTTTATTTTTCTTCTTTAAAAAAAATTTCGGTTATACATTTAAAACATCTAACACATTATTTTCAACAAAAGTCTGTATTAATTCCTCGATCTATCGCTGCTGATTCTGATGTGATGTCCGGCGAAAATATTTTGCGGACAGAGAGAGAGAAGTGCGCACATGGGCTATTATATATTAGGATAAATGTCGAACTTACTACAACAATTTATTCGACGAGAAAAAGTATTCTATCTATCTCTCTCTCTCTCTCCCTCCATCTCTCTCTTTTATCTCCACTCTCCCAACCCCGATTCTCTTCCCTGTCTTCCTCAAACAATCTGGTAGCCAATCGTGGAGCTACAACACTATAACGTTAATTAGCCCAGGTTGTTAACCCTACTACATCTCCACAAAGTCTACCACCCCCATCCCGTAGTGTATTATCCTACCCGTCCCCAACCACCAATAATACTCGCTGTTTATTAGTTTGATGAAACCTAGACTTAATGGTGGAGGTGGGGGTGGGGAGTGGGGGGGGGGGGGAATCGATAAGTGTCAAGCAATGTTGTTAGACTGAATGTGTGACTGAGGTGCTCACAAGGTGTAAGTAATGAGAATGAGGTGCTCGCAAGGTGTAAGTAATGAGAATGAGGTGCTCGCAAGGTGTAAGTAATGAGAATGAGGTGCTCACAAGGTGTAAGTAATGAGAATGAGGTGCTCACAAGGTGTAATTAATGAGAATGAGGTGCTCACAAGGTGTAAGTAATGAGAAACCTGTTACACCCTGACATTTGTCTAGTTTCTATATGGCTTTTTTATAAGTTACAAGGGGTGGGGGTGGATGGTGGGTGATTGGGTGATTGCAGGAGGGGGGTGGGGGGTTGGTAGAGAATGGGGCTACTTGACAGAGGGGCCTTATTTTGAGAAAATGGGAGTTACAACATAGGGTGGGCAGAAAGATGGCGATTTCGAGTATGTGAGTTTGCCGGAGGGAGGATCTAGTTTAGGGGAGGTAGGATTTATCTCATGGGGGTTTGTACTTTAAAAAATGCTAATTTGTATTAGTTTTTTTTTTTAAATTTTGTTTAATTAATAAACATATTAAGGCAAAAAAAAAAAAACCCATATGTTTACGATAAGCCCTTTAATATAAGATGGCCAGATAAAATATCCAACGAGCACGTATGGTAAAACACAAAGCAACAGGCGATCGACAGAAGCCCCGGGGTGAAATAAAATTCCACCGACCTAACCAATCCTACAGTTTGACTACTGAAGTAGAAGTGAGACTGCTGCGGTTACAATGTCTAAATGATATCTCCCTAAAAATAATCCGTTGGAGAAGCGTAGCAGCAGCTTTTTGTAATCTCTAAAGTAATCTTGCTCATCAACGGATCCAAAGTAATCTTCAATCCCACGGGGAGTCTTTTTCTTCATCTCGGTGTTCAATGTTAGTGTTGGAAGGCATCCACCTCCAACACAATTCAGGATGCTTGTCAACTGATTATTCGCCATTCATTGACTCCGATTTCAGCCTTCTTTCCCGAATGCGACAAATGCCCGAACGGACACTTACCCGAATGCGACAAATGCCCAAATGCCACTTACCCGATAGCCGTTTGCCCGAATAGTGTAAATTCGGGCATTTGTCGCATTCAGACAAGTGTCCATTCGGGCATTTGTTCCATTCGGGCATTTGTCGCATTCGGGTAAGTGTCCATTCGGGAAATCGGCCTTCGGGCAAACGGTATTCGGGCAAGTGTCTTTTAGGAAATCGTCCGGCTCCCATTTTTTTTTTGCTTGTTCAGCAAATGACCCGTATACATGTGTTCTTGAACAATATATCCAAATAAGTAAATTCTTTATTACCCGTATATCAAAAGACCCTTTAAGGCCAGCGACAACGTATTAGACATTACCTCTACATTTGTACAATACAAGGATTGCCTTATTGGGAACTAATCCTACACATGTAATAATCGGATGTAGAAGAGGAAGATGTTTTGTGAAATACTGAAATTCTTATTTAAATTTAAATTTCCGATCATTTGCAATCTGTGTCGCCTTCCACGCTTCGAACCATCGAGGTTTCAACTTGCCACACGTATTTTATTATACCTAGCTGACCCGACACTTTTAAGACTACGCCTTCCCCTCCTTCCCCATAAAAACCCTTTTATACATGCATGTTTAAGATACAACGGATTGTTGTTAATTTGATAGTCTGGTCTACTCAGAGGCGTAGCGAGGGGGGGGGGGGGGGGGAGGCGGGGGATGCGGACCGCACCGGGTGACACCATTTAGGGGGGGGGTACACCAAGGCAAAAAATAGTAATATATATAGGCCTATAGAGTAAAAATTGAGGTGGTAGGGGTGCAAATCGAAAGTTTGAGGGGGGATGGGGGAGGGTGCATATCGAAAGTTTCAGGGGAGGGGGGGGGGGGGTGCCGCGAATTGAAATTTTGTCCCCGGGAAGAGTCGCTACGCCTCTGGGGGGTGACACCATTAAGTGCCGCACCGGATGACACCCGACCTCGCTACGCCCTTGGGTCTACTGTAGTCAGATCAAGTATGTTCTTGTTAGTCTGGTGTGGTCTAGTCTAGTTTAGTTTGGTCTAGTCTAGTTTTGTATATTCTAGTCTAGTTTTATCTAGTCTAGCTTAGTCTAGTCTAGCTTAGTTTGGTCTAGTCTAGTTTAAACCTAAAAGAGCTCTTTATTGCATTTGTAGTTACCTTACTGCATTTGTAGCTACTTTACTGATTTTGTAGTTACTCTACTGTATTTGTAGTTAATAGTGCTATAATCCTACGCGTTGGGGGAAACACGATGAATCGTACTACAATGTTGCAAGATATACAAATGGTCGTTCGTTCTACATGTGACCTATTACATTTGTAGTTAGTAGAGCTCTTAGTCAGACAATTTATACACTTTTGCTACAATTTATTGTGCATACATTGTTTTTAAATACACAGAACCCCAATTCATTCTTCACATCTGCGCGCACAATGCTATTTTTGTTCAAAGATTAGATTAAATAAACTCGCATTTTCACTTTCTGCAAAAATATTCAAAACATTTTTTATCGTGAATTTATTTCACCATATACAACTTGAAATGGTTGTT